GCTTCGCCCTCTGACCCTCCCCCTTCTCATGCTCTCTCTCTCTCATTCTCTCTCAAATAAATAAATAAAATCTTTAAAAAAAAATAAAAAATTAAAAAAAAAATAAATCCTTTATAACATTGCTTCAGAAAATACTATATTTGATAAAATAACTGGTAGATTATTTTCATTTAAAAATGTGCAGATGTGAAAGTCTAGATTTAGAAGCTATTACAATTAGAGTTTCTTCACCTACTGTTGTTTTAGGTCCAACTCTTTTTTTTTTTTTTCTTTTCTGGGTGGTGGGTCCAGCTCTTAAATCCTTAAGGGGAGTTGTGATCCGGGAAGGCACTATATCAATATATGGGCAAATAGTGGGCATTTCTGGAGTTCCCTTTTACACATTTGTTTGCTTATTTTCATAGTCTTCTCCCTACTTCTCATCTGAAAATAATTCTAATGTTGATTTTCCCAAAACAGGAGTCCTCTGAAATCAGAGCCTTCAGATGAAAGTGATGCTAACGGAAAGCCCAAACAAACAAGCAGAAAAAAGAAGAAAGAGAAGAAGAAGAAGAGGAAACGTCACCACAAGAAAACCAAGAGAAAACGTGGGCAGGCCGGTAGCAGTGGCTCCGAGCCGGATAGTGAGCCTGAAGAGGACAAAACTTCCAGAAGCACTGGAGACAGTAGAAGGGAATCGGAGAAACCAAGGTGGGTCTTCTATTCTCAAATACCTATGACTTTTCGAATTTTGAATTTTTTTCCCTCAGTTGTTGCCACAAGTGAGGTATCTGAATGACTATTTAGCCACTCAGTCAAACGGAGTCCAAAAAAAAAACCCAAATAGAGCTCTACCATTAGGTCAACATTAAAAAAAAAAAAGGAAGAAGAAGAAGAAAGCTTTCATTAAAAAAATTAAGACTGTGATTTTATTTGAGAAATGTTATTTAGACACAGTAATGATTGTGTCAGAATCTGATTCAGACAAAAAGTCTTTGGGATTTTGAAAGATGGCCGATGTGCCACGCCATGGGAATATGGGCCAGTTTACTACATAGTTAAGGGTCCCGTCTGTGAGGGTCAGAGGAAGAGGCATGTCTTACTCCTCTTCCATAGTCTCCCTTTCCATTGCTTGCATCAGCTCCCCCCCCGCCCCCCGCATTGGACACACACTCTTTGGTTAAGGGTGGTATAGCACTTAGAGTCATCATTTCCTACCTCACATTTCTTTCCAGCATGGTGTGGAAGGTGTGGACTGGCCCATGAACACAGTATTTCCTTTCGTGGGGGCTTTGCTTCTCCCCACATTTTGCTCCGCTGTCTCCCTTGAGCCTGTTGCTCCCATCGTTGGCTCGCTGGTAGCCTCCCCTCTGCCTCGTGTCCTCTGCTCCCCCACGGGGGGCCCTTCTCCCAGGCCTGCGACAGGCGGCACGTGCTGGAACTACCTCAGTCGTTTCTCATTTCACTTTTTTCTTTTCTTTGTTCGTATGGGCCAGAAGAGAGAAGGTTGAAGTCCCCGTGCCAGGCATACTTAAAAAATTTAGGGCTATTAGGATTTTTTTTTTGACTCTTCAGGCATTATTTGCTTTTGTCGTATGCTTAGACATCCCACTGACATCCGTGAGAGCTCTGTCGTGCAGTGAGTCTGGAATCTGACCCACGGAGTCTCCATCAGACAGGCGGACCCTGAGTCCTCCTGGATCCTTCTGCCACCAGATCCGTGGAGAGCCTCGCAGGCCGCTGTGGCTCAGGGCATCCAGGTTGAATCAGCCGTCTCTGTGCCTAGGTGCTCCATCTGTAACCCAGGCTTGCTCTAGAAGAGGAGAATAAAAAGGTTCTGACTTTGGCCGAGTTCATGTGGGCAGGAATCACTCCTGTCTCGCTTGCCCTTGTAACCCCTCAGTGGCTGGCACAGGGCCTCATGCCCGGTAAGCACTCAGTACATTTCTGTTGTGTGAATGAATGAATACATTATTGATATTTTTGCTTTTCGGTATGTCTTCAAAGCACCATACATTAATCATTGTTTCTTCTGGAAACTCACTGTTAGCTACTTGTCCATTTTTTTTTTAAGTTGAGGAAAATGAGTTTTAAAGGATTTTCTGAACCTACACAGGAACTACCATTAGAACTTGGAAGGTAGTTATTTTCAGCCTATGCGTAATCACATCAGAGGTGAGCTTTAGAGCCTCTTGATGGTTCTGTGATCCAGATAGCATTTTTAAGTTCATTGATATTTTTCAGAATATCCCCATTAAGATCAAAATCTACTCTTTTTGTTCTTCTCTTTTACTTTCTTACTATGAACTTCTGTAGTCTCTTCCTGGGAAGATGACCTGGAGGAACTGTTTCCATAGAGACAAGGACTAAGGTATTAGTGAGTTGTGAGACTTCTGTAATGTCGGGAAAGTGGGTTCTTGGGGATATAATGCACCATATAGGAACTCTATTTTTGGGTGATCGAGGGACGACTTCCCCTAAGGCTACAGCTTCTCAGGGACCTCTGTCTCCTAGGGTGAGCTCTTCACCTTCAGGTGGAGGCAGATCCTTCCTTGTGCACAGCCCAGACCACATCCTGCTTCCTGACCTCAGTACCCAATAGGAGAGGATCAGAGCTTGTTTATTCCCTAGGGGTGGTCCGCTTCTTCCTCCCTCCCCCATGGGCTTTCCATTTCTTTCTGGAATGCATCCATCTCATTCCTTCCGTTTGCTGCCCTTACGGTGTTTGTCAACAGAAAACCCTCCATAGATATTCTGAAGGGGAATGTGTTAAAAATCACCATGTATTTTTTTTTTTAAAGATTTTTTATTTATTTATTTGAGAGAGAGAGAATGAG